GGACCTCGTGCTGTTCCCAATGCTCCTGTTGCCCCTGCAGGATCACCATCCCTGTGCAGAGCTTCTCCAGCCTGCAGATCCGAGGTGAGGCTGCGCCCCACGCGTGGGAGGGGGGAGCGGGATGGTGGCACAGAGGTGGCTTCTGGGGGCTCTGTGGCAGGAGAAGCCACCTTGGCCATCCCTGCTCCATTTACAGGGACCATTTTCTCTGAATCTCAGGGAACCTGGACACCTGGGAGCCCCCAGGGTGGGGGGAGGAGGGTGCCATGGCCATATCCCCAAGGCTGAACATGTCCCCAAGGCTGATGATGATGATCACATCATCATGTCCTCAATGACAACCACACCCCGAAGGCCAGCTGTGTCCCAAAGGACAACCCTGTCCCCAGGCTCAATCACAACCCAAAACCACCCATGGCTGACGAAATCTCCAAGGTCAGAAATGTCCCCAGCTGTCCCTGCAGCCCAAGTGTGTCCACAGGACTCATGAGATCCCACAGCCTCCCACATCCCTGAGGCCAACCCTGTCCCTGAGGCCAGTTGTGTCCCCAGGGCTGCTGTCTCTCATGGTTCAGGGGTCTTCAGCCCAAACAGTTTTGTTTGGGCTTCTCTTGAGTGTGGCTGGAATGGCCATGCCCTGGGCAGGACGTCACTGCCTTGTCCTGCCCATGTTCCCCAGAGACCAGCCTGGACACCAAATCTGTGTCGGAAGCCCATGTGAAGAGGAGCATCGTGGTCAAAACTGTGGAGACCCGAGATGGAGAGGTGGGAAATTCTCATTTGTGTCACCCACGCTCCATCCCCACCTCCCCACAGGGTGTCCCCAAGGGACTTGCACATGGGGCCACCATTCCTGAGCCCCACGAGCAGCCCAGGCAGGGAGCCAGTGATCCCTGAGAGTATGGCATGATCTGCTCTGGGTCCTGGTGGAGCTGAGGCTGGCAACTCACAGAGAAAACTGTCCCTGTCCTTGTCCCCAAGCTCGTTCAGAGCCCGGGCGGGCTCAGCCGGTGGCAGAACCCGACCCCGAGCTGACGGTCCCTGTGCCTCCACCTGCAGGTGCTGAAGGAGTCCAAGCAGGAGCACAAGGAGGTGCCGTAGGGCCGGGGAGCCGCAGCAGCCGCGGCTCCGTCGGTCCCTCCCGGTGGGCAGGGGGCAGGGGGCACGGGAGGGGTCGGTGGCGGCTCGGAGGGGACACCTCCCTCCCGTGCACCCCTCGGCTCTCCCCTGCCCCCGTTCGCGGAGCCCGCTGGCACCCCGCTCGGGGCTGGAGCCAGCAGAGCACCCGCGGGACCGGGCAGCACCCGGGGCAGTCCAGCGGATCCGGGCGGGGCTGAGCTCCCCACCGGGATGCTGCCACATTCCCACAGCACTGGGCCCTGGGGTTTGGGGGCTCTTCCTGCCTCATCCTGGGTCTCCAGGGAGAGTCTGTCCTCTTTCAATCTCCCAACACGATGGTGGCAAGAGCAATGTCCCTGCATCCAGTCGGATCCATCTGGGAGACCTCCCTGGATCTCCCCGGTGCACCCTGACCCTGAGCACCCTCGGATGGGGGGGATGAGGGTGCGAGGTACCGGCTGGAGAGGGACATTTCCCTGTCACCAAGCTCTGGGTGAACTCAGCTAGGAGGCAGGGGCAGGAGGAAGGGGAGGATGGAGAGGCAGGGGAGGATGGAAGAGGATGATGGACAGGAAGGGGAAGAGTGGAGAAGCAGTTTGCTCTTGGGATGGTGTCAGGGGGTGACAAAACTGGCATCAGGAGGGGGTCCTGAGGGTGCTGGGGTGTCTGAGGTGGGTTGTGGAGCTACACAGTGGCCTCAAAGGCTTCTCCTGACACAGAGCCATGGGGCCGGGTGACTGTCACCAAGGCATCCCCAACACTGGCAGGAAAAACCAGACGTGAGGAGCTCATGGTGAGGGGTGACCCACAGCTCTGTGGTGGGGGAATCTCATGCAGGTGAAAATGGAGAGGAGAGGGGTGCAGAGAGGAGAAGGAAGGTGTCAGAGCACTTGTGAGGGTCTCACAACACAAGGTGCCACCTGCAACTAAAGAGTGACAGAGGAGTCTCGTCACTTGGGGGTCACACTGGGAGCCAGGGGCTCTGGGGACTGGGGCTGCCCCAGCCACAGTCCCTGCCCCACACAGAGCCTGAGTCACCCCTCCATGGGCATTCAGGATGGGATTGGAAGAAACCCCTTGTCCCTGGGCTACATGGGGCCCTGTGCCCCGTTTGTCCTCCCCCAGGGTCGTTGTCCAGCCTGGTGCTCACCCACAGCCCTGTCCCCACCTTGGCTGCAGCCCCTGACCACGAGCAGAACCTGCCTGATGTCACCTGACATAGGAACAATGAGCCAGCAGCACTTCCCGTGCCCTGGCATCCTTGGGGATGAGCAGACAGCTGCCCTTGGGTGCCGTCCCCTCGGTCAGGTTCTGAGCAGCTTTGCTCTGACTCCAGAAACGCAACACCCAGCCCCACAACTGCTGTTCCCAGGGCAGGAGGTGTTCTGGGTGGTGCCCAGGGTGGGAATGCAGGGGATGGTGCAGGGCTGGGACACCGAGAGCAGCTTCCCTTGCTACCGAATTAATGCACTAATGCTGCCGCAGCTCGGGATGAGAATAAAGCTAATGAGCACACTTGGCTTCCGTGGTTGTGCCTGCATCCACCTCTCTGCAGCCAGCGCCGTGGGATTTGGGGACTATCTGGGGTGGTGGGGACCTCTGGGAATCCAAACCAATCCTGATGTTGTAGGGGGATGTGCTCAGGGCTGAGCCCCAGGGCACTCCAGGGGCCAACACCCACAAGGGACTGAACAGAGGGGAGGGGGGTGCAGGGATAACGCCCACGGCAGTGGGGAGGGAGAGATCCCCTTCTCAGGATGGGAATCAGGGATCTGCTGCAGGTTCTTCACCCTCAAACCCAGCTCCTTGCCCACACAGTCCCAGGCTGCAGCTCCTGGGAAGCTCCCAGGACTTGCTGCAGCTGTTGGGGCTGAGGGTGGACTGCAGATGCTGCACATCACTGACACAGTTCAAGGGCCAGAGCACCACTGAGACCCTCAGTGCCCTCCTGGACAAAGGGATTTTTGCTGAAATCCTCCAGCCACATCCTCAGAAAAAGGAGATGAGCCTGGAGGGCACATCCTGCTCCATGCTGAGGATTAAGTGTCCACCAAAACCCTGCAGAGATGTCACAACCTTTGGGGGATGTTTGAGATGACTTTGTCAGGCACAAACATTTACTCTCAACTCCTCGGGAACTGTAATCGGGCAAGTTAAAAACACCCTGAAATCAGCCATTTCTGAAGAAAATGATCAGATCAGTTTGAAAAATACTTCTCCTTTACAAGTTAAAAAAAATCAAAACAACCTCACCAAAATAAGAAGTAAAAAAAGGTATGGGTTTGCTCCAGCTGAGGAGCTCAAAAGGAACAACGAAGGGCTTGGGACACACAGTTCTCAACATGGAAAACAAGGCAAACAAGAGTGACAAAAGCAAGTATTAATTGGATTTAAATAGTTTGGCGGATGTTTTTAGCAGCCTCTTAGAAAAACCGCTGTAATAAATCACTCTTGCAGATCAAGAACTCTCCAGAGTTTGGCCAGAATGTCTTGTACCAGCTCCAAGTTTTCTTTTGAGAAGGACTTTAGTGAGCTTTAACTCCCACTGTCAACCAGTGGCAGAGCCAGGAACAAATCCTGTCAGTGTGAAATCCCACCTGGAGCAAACCCTGGCACTGTCAAATTGTGCCTGTCCCTACTGAGCTGTGCTCAGTAGGAGTTCAGTAGGAGTGTGCTCAGGGAGTTTCCCACATCAGTCCTTGCTGTCCCACTCCTGCCCTGAGGGGAGGGAGAGCAGGGACTTGGCAGTGTTTGACTGTTGATGGCCAGAACATCGGGAATTTCCAATGGGAGGATGGTCCAGGGTGCCCAAATGCCCTGTGGGGATCATGTTCCAGCCTGGATGGGTTCTCCAGTGCCCGCCAGCCCATGTGGCCAAGGCTGATGATGATGCCCATATTTCCTCCCCACTGATCCTGACTGAGTGCCCACATGGGCAAGGATGATGATGATGATCATGATGATGAAGCTCACGTTTACTCCTCACAGACCCTGCTTGGCCCCTCAGCTCAGCTCAGGTCCCACCATGAACTGGCTGACCTGGAAAGGGTCCCGGTGGGTCTCACAGCCCCATCCTCTGTCACCATTCACACAATCTCTGCTCCACTGCATTTCTCCTGAGTCTTCCCTCCAAACCCCAGGGATTTTGCCTTTCCCAAGAGGTGGGAATGCAGCAGGCTGCTCCCAGCCTCGACATCCTCACCCTGAGCCTTGGCACTACTCAAGCAGCGTGCCTGTTCCCACCAGAGCTGTGACTGTTGTGCCAGGGCTGTTCTGGCATCAAAATCCTCCATCCCAATCTTGGGTAACTCCAGGATCTTCTTTTGTTGAAGTCTCCAGCCCTCAGTTGTCCTCAGCTGTGCAAAGGCAGGAGGAATGGCACCGCAGCAGAGTGCAGGGACACACATGTCCCCTCAAGTGGTGCCACAAAGGCCAGTGCCAGGCCTCAGGGGTGAACCTGCACCCTGCCATCAGGTACCTGGTGGTTTCCCCAGGGCAGGTGGGAGTAGGTGGTTCCAGTCTGCCAGGGTGACTCTGCCATTTGCTGCACTGGGTTTGGGAAAGAAATGGACCTGACAGTCATCACTGTCATCCATGACATCTCCTAAAACCCCTCAGTGACCGTGGATGGGGTGGAAGAGGAAAGAGACTATCTGGGTTTGGGTTTCTTCTGCAAAACTACCACCAAAGGTTTTCTTTCCCTTGGTTTTCTCCTTATCCAAGAGACTCTCCCATACCCATCCATGAGGACACTCTGCTCAGAGATGACAGCACCACAGCTTGAGAGCTAAACTTTATTTGTACAGAACTTGTGACTTGGGAGATGCCAAAGTCAAGCTTTGAGTTTTTTCTAAGCCACTTTTCCCCTGTTTCTGCTCAATCCTGGTGTTCCTGCTCCCTCAGCTGACCTGGTAACACTTCATCAACTCCACCACTGTCCTCTCCTCCTCAGTTTCCTTTTCCAAGTGGGTCTCCACGGGATGGGCTTCCCTCCCTGCCTCACAGCTGGCCAGGCCACCAGGCTGGCCAGCAGCCTGACAATCCCTGCTCTGCAGCTTCCTGAACAAATCCTGGCTGCTCTCCTTCTCCGCCTGGCTCAGGAGAGCCACGTTCAGCCCGAAGCGCTTGGTGCCCGCCAGGCTCTGCAGGATCTGAAGGATGGCAGCTCTGTCTCTGGGATGGATGTTCTCTGCCAGCACTGTCAGGAATTCCCCCAGGAGACCAAAGCCCACATCAGCCTGGAAGATCCTGCCCAAGGCCTCCCCTCCGAGCTCCAGCAAAAACTGGTATTTCTCTGTCCCACTTTTCAAGTATCTGCGCCAATCTCTGTGAAATTCTGCAGCAGTCCCAGGCAGCTGATCCAGTTCCTGAAGGAGAAAGGGGACACTCAGATCCTTTTGTTTCGTTCCCCCTTGAAGACTTAGATCCCCTCACACCAATCAGCCCACAGACAGACACAAACCCTGAGATGTTTTTACAGGGACAGCTCGAGGAGCTGCTGAGGAGGAAAAGGGGAAGACAAGGAAATGCCAGGTGCCTTTAACCCTAAGAAACCAGGGACCCCCAGGGGGAAAAGGGGAGTGGGGATGAGATGTAACACCCAGTGTGAAGACAGATGGTTGTGGAGTGACCCCAAGCCCAACCAGAGTCAGACTCTGGATCTACCAGCACTGCCTGGGAAGGGATCTCATGGAGATCAGGACAGGGAACACCGAGCACTGAAAGGAAAAAACAGGGCGTGGCAGAGAAAAGGTGGGAGATGCAAACCCCAGAAGACGTGCAGATGCCCTGCCTGGTACCACCCAGCATTGGTGGGTCTGTGGCAGAGGCTGAGAGCTGAGGTAAAGGAAATCCCATTTTATACCAGCTCTAATTAACTGCTGAGCTCATCCCTGCTGGGTCACTGATGCACAGGCTGAAGGAGGAGGCAAATGTGCAGCTTTTCTACAGCCAGGGAACAAGGCAAAGTGACATCAGCTGGGACTGAGCACAGAGGGGAAAAGCTCTGGAGATCTGAGCCTGGTGCTGATGGGACCAGGAGCAGGACTTGCTTGGGGAGATCATTGCTCAGTCCAAGGAAACACAATGCTACTCAGGAGAGTTGCAAAAGATCTTGTAATAAACACAGGCCAATGAAATCCAGCATCATAAACAATCCTTGGGATTGTTTATAAGGCAATCCATGAAATTGCCTTGTCATGTGAAACATCCATGGGAAACATCCAGTGACCAGGACACTCCAGTGTGGACAGAGCCCACAGCAGGGGCAGGACTGAGGTGACTCCAATCACAAACAACTGGGACAGAAAATGTCCCGTCCCTGTTTCCCACCACTGAGGGACTCAGAGAGCTTGTCAGGCACAGTCAGGATTAACCCAACCCAGCCCTTTTCCATGATCCTTAAACCATGGGCAAAGCCTGTGCTCAGGAACTCTGCAGCTGGAGGCTGTTCCGGGGAGGATCCTGGTGCACAGCCCTGGCTCTGGGTTTGGAGCTGGGAGCTGCTCCCAGCCAGGAGAGACAGCCCCCACAGACTGCTCCTGACCACCATGGGGGCACTGGGAGCTCTGGGTCCAGGGTGTGCAGCCAGGCCTCCATTCCCACAGGGATAGAGCAGACTCTTCCTGAAGGAGCCCAGCCTGACCCGATGCTGATCCAAACCCTGATATTCCAGGAGCCCAGGAGGGCTGGCTTGCACCCAGAGTGAGTCCTGAGTAACTCTTGCATTCCAATTAATACCCAGATGATTCCCGAGTCATTTCCAGCTGTGGATGAGGTCCTGGCAGCCTCACCCTCACCTGTGGGATCTCCACAGTGTGGGCAGGTGCTGCCTTGGCCGGGGCTGCACAGGGATTCCACAGCACATTCCTCCTCTGTCCCAGCCTGTCCTTCTTCTCCAGGGGCTTCAGGTGTGAGGCCAGCACAATCTCCCTAAAGGGAACAGGGACAGGAAGGATATGTGGCAAGAGAAAACACTGAGGCTTCAAGCTGCTTCTCTGAGCCAATTTCTGACTTTCGGCTGTATGGATCACCCAGAGGGGCTGGACAGGCTGGAGGAGCAGGCCCTTACCAATACAAGGATAAACCAGCTTAAAATCCCTCAGGAATCCCTTCATAGGGACTGGCAAGATATCTGGGGGGAAAGCCATTTGAAAGTGTTTTCCTGCTGCTCAGGGATCAAGTGGTATGGGGGAATGAGACAGATATGAATCCATGAATGGAATTTGATCTGGTCCCAGAATGCCTCTCAAGTGTGGTAAAAGTCCTACATCTACCTATGGATCTTGGTTATCAAACCAGGCTGGATCCACAGGCAATCCAGGAGTTTGGAGTGCACTGGGAGTGCCTAACACTGCTCCATGGAGCATTCCCTGCCATCCCAACCTGCTCACAACCCCCTGGACAGAGCAATGACAGGAGCAGGAACAGGCTGGGAAGAGCACAGGGGACAGTCACCCTCTGCTTCTGCACTCCCAGCATGGCCTGGGGATGTGCGGAGAGCCGGGGGGCTGGGGGTGGGAATGGGAAGAGGTGACAGTGTCCTGGGGAGGGGACAGTGTTCTGGAGAGGTGACAGTGCCACTCCACTGCTGGCCACAGTCGGGCCAGCACAGGGACCGGCCACGGAGCAGGGACAGATCTCAACCTTCACGGGGCCACCTGAGGAGTTTTGGGACAAATGTCAACCACTGCCGAGTGTCCCAAAACTCCTGCGGGCTTTGTTCTCGGAGCCGGGGCTGTTCCGGGCATCCTGAGGCTGCTGCCCCTCGGGTTCCCCAAGAGCAGCGCTCGGCCCATCAGCTCCGATCTCAGACCCCGAGGGGTCCCAAACCCCCAAACGACTTCCCGGCTCTTCCCGGGCCCGGGCGGCCCCGCTGGGCCCCTCGGGCCGGTCCCCGAGCCCCGGACCTGAACTGGCTGTAGTCGGGGACGCCCTGGCGCAGCGCCCGCAGCTTGGCCTGGCCCTCCCGCTGCCGCCGCTCGTCCTCCGCCAGCGCCGCCCGCAGCTCCCGCTCCAGCGCCGGGAGAGCTCCGGCCGGGTCCATCCCCGGGTCCATCCCCGGATCCATCCCCGGGTCCATCCCCGGGTCCGTCCCGGAGCGCGGGCGGGCACCGCCGCCACCTGCGGGACGTGGGGCCGGGGCCGGCTGGGGGAACAGGGACCCCTCCTGTCGAGCCCGCGATGGCTTCGAGGAGCCACTTCTGTCACAACAGCGCTGCCAGGACTGGCCTCACAGCCCCGATCGTATCGTGACAGCCCCGCCTTGGCGGACCCCACTGTGACAGCCTAAAGGCCGCGCACGTGGATGGCAACTGGGGACCTCTCCCCTATCGCGAAGCCTCCCCAGCCTTGACACACCGCCGGCCCCGGGGCCCCTCGCTCTGTCGCGACAGCCCCGCGGGGTGACGAACAGCTCAGCGAGAGCCGCTCTCTATCGCGACAGTCCCGCTCCCGCCGCCGGAGCCGCGGAAGGTCCCCGGGGCTGCCCCGGCCGCGCCTGACAGAACCGGCCCGGCCGCGCCGCGCTGCCCCGCTCGGCCCGCGGTCCCCGGGACGCTCCGGAGCCCGACCCAGCCCCGGAGCCCGACCCAGCCCCGGAGCCACCCGGAGCTTCTCCGGCGGGCGCTGGCGGCGGGCGCGGGACGCTCTGTCGCGACAGGCGGTGAGGGCAGCCCGGGGGCCTTCGGCAGCGGCGGCGCCGAGAGCAGCGGCGGGAGCGGAGCCGGGTGGGTGAGGGAGAACCGGGCCGGGCCGGGGCCTCGGACAGCGACGGGACTTGGAGCAGGGCAAGGCCGGGCTCCCCGGTGCCGCGGTCCCTGAGGGGGTTCGGTCAGCGCTGCCCGGTCTCTGGACCCCCACCGAGCCTCCTCCCGCCCCGCAGCATGGACACCGACCTGTACGACGAGTTCGGGAACTACATCGGGCCCGAGCTGGACTCGGACGATGACGACGACGAGCTGGGCCGAGAGTCCAAAGACCTGGACGAGGTGAGTGGGGTGGAGGGGAGGAGGGGCAGCGACCCCCGGAGTCGGCGGGGCTCGTCCTGCCCGGACCCTGAGCGGGGACGGGCCCGCGGCTGCTCCTCAGGGGTCTGGTGAGTCTGGTCAGACTGGGGTCTGAATCCCGAGGCTCGGAGTTTAATTCTGGTGTTTAAAGAATTTACAAAATCTTCCTGGGGTGAAGAGAAAGAGTTCTTGCTGGAGTTGCGGTGGGAGCTCCTGCGGCTGGGGCTGGGTTTGGCTGGTTCTGGTGTCGGTGCTGTGCACGGTCCGTGTCCCTTCGGGAGCCCCTCAGGAGGGAACTGAGGCTGCCGCAGGGAGCCGGGTCCGCGCGGGGAGAGGCAGAGCGAGACCCCACGGACACGGGGGGAGCAGAGGGAGCCCCTTCCCATCTCCTGCTGGTCTGTGTGCGGTGGGGGTTGTGTTACCCGGGTGTGGTTCTTGCGTTGTGCTGTGTGGGGTTGCTGTGTGTGAGTCGCTGCCTGTGCCGGCGTCCCTGCAAGTCCTGGGGCTGTTCCTGATGTAGGTGCTGTGGGAAGAGCCGTGCTGCTCCTCCAGGAGCTGCTCCCAGGGCACCTCTGTGGGTGCTGGGGCTGCACTGGGGGTCCCTTGCTCGGGGGTGACCCCAGGCCTGTCCCCTTGGGGGGCTCCACAGCAGCTGAGGGTGAGCCTTGGTTGCAGCTGGAGGATGATGACGATGACGATGACATGGGGGAGCACGACGAGGAGCACCCCGGGATGGAGGTGGTGCTGCACGAGGACAAGAAGTACTACCCCACAGCAGAGGAGGTCTATGGGCCTGAGGTGGAGACCATCGTGCAGGAGGAGGACACACAGCCACTCACTGGTGAGTGGGGAGGGAGGAGAAGGCTCTTAATTGATCCTTGGAAAGGGGAAATAATATTCCCTTCTCTCCTGTCCCTTTGGAGTCCCCTCTTAGCCTCAGAAACTCTGTCTGGTGTGTGCAAATTTGGGCACTTGTGATTTTTTCAAATCTAAACAAATGTACCTTTGGAAAAACAAGAATCAGCAGGGTTGGGAAAGCTGTTTAAGGAAAAAGTAAATGATTTGAAGTTCTCTCCTTTGATCCCTTTGGTTTGGCTGGAAGGGCCCTGCAGTGACCATCTCCTGCAGCTTTGACAAACAGCTGAGAGAATCTGTCAGCTGGAAAATTGAGGGGTTGTCAGCAAAACTGCCCATTCCTGGGGGCCATTCCTGACCCTGCTGCTTCAGGGCCTCTGGGAACAGTTTGTTGTTCTTTCTCTTGTTTCAGAGCCCATTATTAAACCTGTGAAAACCAAGAAGTTCTCCCTGATGGAGCAGACACTGCCCGTCACTGTCTACGAGATGGAGTGAGTATGGGGCTGGGGGAGGCAGATTTGGGGTCTCTGGCTTGGTGTCTCACTGACCCCAGTACAGCCCTGAAAGCATCCAATTCCCAGGTTCTGTACCCAAAACAAGAGGGAGTGCAGGATGAACCATTTCACAGACATTTTCCCTCCCCACCAGCAGCACAGGGTAGGGTTGGACATGAACAGGGAATCTCACCTCAAGGGCTGAGATCAATCTCCATAGCAAGAACTTGTGGCTCAGGAAATGTTCTTGGAATGGCTTGGGTTGCAAGGGACCATAGAACCCATCCAGTCACATCCCTGCCATGAGCAGGGACACCTTCCACTGTCCCAGGTTGCCCCAAGCCTGTGTCCAGCCTGGCCTTGGACACTTCCAGGGATGAAGCAGCCACAGCTTCTCTGGGCAACCTGTTAAATATCCACATGGTCAGTGTGTAGCACACATCATATTTGGACATTTTGGGTTGATCCCAGTCTCAGATTAGGTCCCATCTATTCCAGTTTCCATTGGGAATTTCTGTTCTGCTGAGTGAGTGTAAATGCTGTGCAGTCAGCAGGACACTGCTGCTGTGTTGGGTGGGTCTGTTGGTTGTGTCCCAAATCAGCTTCTTGGATACCAGGGCTGGGAGAAAAACTCCTGGAAAAATTTCCAAATGCATTTAAAATTGGAGATGTAATATCTCAAACTACTTTTCTGTGGAACAAAAACCATCCTTTGCTTTTTCTGGTAAAAGTCTGATGTTGGAGCAGCGTCTGCACATTGTGGTGGGTGGAGGGTCTGTTTCCCTGTATGTGCAGTGTGTGTGTGTGTGTGTTGTCTCTCTTTGGGATGAGCAGATGGAGCTGTGGGAGTCTCCTTGGGCTCATCTCTCCACTCACCACTTCGTGGCTTGTCAGGGCTTTTCCCAGTTTTAAATGTTCATCTCCAGGTGTACCAGGTCTCCTGGTCCCAGAAGCAGGTGTGGCTGAGCAGCAGTTCCCTGGTGGTGAGCAGTGCCTCTGCCTGGCACCCAGCATTGTGCTTTCCAGAGGGGAGAGGATGTTCCTGGAGCTGGTGTTCACTCAGGGGTTCCTCAGCTTCCCAGGCCTGTGCTTGGTGCCTGGGGGGTTCAGCAGGGCTGGGGCAGAGCCCAAGAGCTGCTGGGGCTGGTTTTTCTCAGCCCTTGCTTTGGCTCAGTCCCTGACCTGGGCTCTGCATTATCCACCACTTCCCTGATCCCTGTGTGCTCTGCTCATTCCATTTGTAATTAATTCATTTTCCTCCTGTTTGTTGATAAAAATGGTGAGGTTGGGCCAAGAGAAATTCCCTGTGGGGTGTAGCCAGAAACCTGCAAGCTTGGTATTGATTTCCCATTTAGCCTTATTTTCAGACCAATTAGGAAGGTTTTAATCGGGGTTGCTATTGATTGCTTTATTTTTTAGTTCTTAATCAAAATGTTTTACATTAAGAAGTCTATTGTGAAAATTTAATCTGTTTAAAAAGGAAATTATTTGATAGCATTTATTCTCTGCAGGCCTCTGGCAGTGGCTGCATGTTTTATAGCCTCCCATTATTTTTAGGGGCAGTAATTTAGGATCTCAATTATCTTTTGGCCAGCATCCATCCAGAAGTGACCAGCTCATCATTACCCAGCTCAGCTGCTGATTTGAAGAAGACTTAATTCCTTGAGTCCCTGAAATGTCACTGTTTTAAGAGTTGAAAATCAGAATTAATGGTCTGTGGAGCCCCTGGCTGCTTTCAAAGCTCCGTGGGGTGCTTGTTATCCAGCACCACAATTTACCTGACTGCCTGCCATGGTTTGAGTGGAAGTGCTTCATCATCTGAGTACATGGATGTGATTTTTGCTCCAGTACTGACTAGAAAAGAAGAAAAATATTCAATAATATTCCATTGCTGGCAGCTTTACCAGCTCCGTATCCTCCCACCCACTGCCATCTGTCTGGGACTCCAACTCTCTTGTCCTCCCCATCTGGAAAGTGGGATTCTTCCTCCGCAGGGCACTGGCAGGATAAAAATTTGGCGAGGATTCAGGGGACACCTTGGATAGAAAGTATAGCTGAAAAGCAGCACCTGCTTTTCTTAGACACAGCAGAAGCCTCCAACAGCCTTTTGTGTTTTGTTCCTGCAGTTTCCTGGCAGATCTGATGGACAACTCGGAGCTGATCCGGAATGTGACTCTGTGTGGGCACCTGCACCATGGCAAGGTGACTATCCAAAATACAGGAGTAATGATGGGGACCTGTCTGTTGCATTGCCAGCCCTCCTGGCCCCTGGTTCTCTGCAGCAGCACCTTCTGCTCCTCCTGCTCATGAACTTATTTGTAGAATCCAAGGATGGTTTGGGTTGGAATGGACCATAAAGCCCACCCAGTGCCACCTCTGCCATGGCAGGGACACCTCCCACTGTCCCAGGCTGCTCCAAGCCCCGTCCAGCCTGGCCTTGGGCACTGCCAGGGATCCAGGGGCAGCCCCAGCTGCTCTGGGCACCCTGTGCCAGGGCCTGCCCACCCTCACAGGGAAGAATTTCTTCCCAATATCCCATCTAACCCTGCCCTCTTCCAGCTTAAGGCCATTTCCCCTTGTCCTGGTATGTTTCCCTGTGAAATTTGTAGATTTTTTTGTAGGTTTTATAATAACCTCCTCAGCATGCTCTGTGCTGCCTTTGGAGAGATGTGGTTGTGTTTGTGACTGTCTGAAGGGAGGCACCTCCTTTCTCTCCTCTTTTCCAGACGTGTTTTGTTGACTGCCTGATAGAACAGACGCACCCAGAAATCCGGAAACGCTACGATCAGGATGTGAGTGAGCTGCTGGGAAATTCCTGCTCTGGGGAACACAGGGTGGCTTGTGCACCCTGAGGGAGGGTGACTGTGCATGGGGACAAGGTGGTTGAGTGACTGCAATGTAGGATTGGGAAGCCAGAGCTCAGTCCTAATTCTGCTTCTGTACCTTACTGGTCACCTTAGTGATGTAGAGTGATGTAGAATGATGTAGAGTTATTATATTATTATAGAGTTATTGTGTCCTGCTTCAAACTGAGTATCTGATACCAAAATGTGAGGCT